CGGCAGCCCCGCGATCACTGCCAAGTGGTTTTTGACAGGGACAGCGGGGGTGGTGACGTATGGCCACCAGACACAATGATGGGCATTGGTTTTCGACAAGGGCGGTGGGGGCCGACATGCTTTACGATGTGTGCTGTCACGCGCGCAGGCGGCACACTTGACACACTCTGCACGTGCCCCGAACGTGGCGCACCTGGCGCGACTGGAATATGCGGCACACCTGGCGCACGCGGAACGGGTGGCGCATCTGGCGCACCAGTCGTGCCCAGCACGCTCGGACCCCAGGGGTGCCTGGCGCGCGTGGCGCGCCTGGCACGCGTGGCGCACCTCGCCCCAGCGTCGCGCGCATAGGGTCGGTGTTGGTTCCCAGTTGTTGTCCATCCAAAGACTGCCGCTGAACATGCTCAGGCTTGGGTGTTACTGACGTGTTGGGTGGGGCAGATGGGAGTGAGCTAAACGGCGTGTTCTCTACGGGGTGTCTTGATCACTGTCCCTTATAAATATACACCCCGTCCCCCAGGCGATTGGGAGCCAACCAGGGACAATGAGGGCCCCCCACCACCACCCCTTGAAAAAAACAATCCACAACACACTCTGCCTCCAAATTCGGAGCATGCGCAGCGAACCCGATGCGGCCTCCCCCACACCATCCTGGTCAAAAAACAATACAGCGTACACTTGGCGGCGGCGGCGGTGGCTGCGGCGGCTGCGGCGGGGGCAGCGGCTGCGGCGGATGCGGCGGCGGCGGCGGCGGCGGCAGCGGTGGCGGCAGCGGCTGCGGCGGCAGCGGCTGCGGCGGCGGCGATGCGGCAGCGGGGGCGGCGGCGGCGGCGGCGGGCGGCGCGGCGGCGGCGGCGGCGGACAGCGGCGGCGGCGGCGGCGGATGCTGGAGATTGCAAGTCGGAGTGCTGACCTGGTGGACGCTGGAGGTCGATTCGTGGAGGGGGAAGTGGAAAGTCAGATGCTGGAGGTTGGAGGTTGGAATGCTGAACTAGCGGGGGTAGGGAAGTCGATCGGTGGAGGTGGAAGCGGAAAGTCGCATGCTGGAGGTTGGAGGTCGTAATGTTGAGCTGGTGAACGTTGCAGGTCGATCGGTGGAGCTGGAAGTGGAGAGTGGGATGCTAGGGGTTGGAGGTCGGAGTGCTGAGCTGGTGGACGCTGGAGGTCTATCGTTGGGGGTGGAAGTGAAGAGACGCATGCTAGAGGTTGGAGGTCGTAATGTTGAGCTGATGGACGCTGGCGGTCGATAGGTGAAGGTGAAAGTGGAAAGTCGGACGCTAGAGGTTGGAGGTCGTAATGTTGAGCTGGTGGAGGTAGGGAAGTCGATCGGTGGAGGTGAAATGAAGAGTCGCATGCTAGAGGTTGGAGGTCGTAATGTTGAGCTGATGGACGCTGGAGGTCGATTGGTGGATGTGGAAGTGGAGAGTCGGCTCAAGGCCCACGAGGCTTTCTCAGAGGCCCCAGAAGCTCTCTCAGACACGCTCATCGGCACACTCCAAGACACACACACACACACACACACATACACTGGGACACCGAAACACCCAACGGGGACACCTAAACCCCCAAGGGGGACACCGAAACCCCCACACGGACACACAAGCACCTTTTCTCTGGAAGCCCTGGGGGGGGGGGGGGGCGATGGGCATTTACTTTCAAATTGTGGCCCTTGGTGGTCTCCGGCCCCAGGGACCCCGGGGCGGGGTGTCCGGCATATGAGAGGTGTGTTCCTCCCAGGCATCCTTTTCGGTTTCGGCTTCCAGGCGGCTCGACGACGGCCAAAGACCGCCCCAGAACGGCTGCAGAATGCCCCAAGACAAGCCCAAGTCGGCCCAGCGAAGGGACCACCAAAACTGAACCATAGGAACACAAGAACAGCCAGACAAGGCCCAAAGGAGCTACATGAGAGCTCCTCAGAAAAGCGAAGACGGAAGGTGCCACATGTGGCGGTTCTCCTCTTCGCCACCACCACCATCACCTTAGTCATCATCAGCATCCTCATCATCATCCTCATCCTGATCCCCATCGTTATCATCATCATCATCATCATCAGCAGCAGCATCATTATCATCATCATCATCATCATCATCATCAGCATCATCATCAGCAGCAGCAGCATCCTCATCATCATCAGCAGCATCAGCATCATCAGCAGCGTCATCATCATCACCATCATCATCATCATCCTCATCCTGATCAACATCATCAGCAGCAGCAGCAGCATCAGCATCAGCATCAGCATAGCAGCGTCATCCTCATCGTCGTCCTCATCATCATCAGCATCGTCATCATCTTCATCAGCATCTGCATCAATATCATCATCCTCGTCATCAGCAGCAGCCTCATCATACGCGTCATCAGCAGCGTCATCAGCAGCAGCATATCCTCATCCACATCATCATCAGCAGCAGCAGCATCATCAGCATCGCATCAGCATATACATCAGCAGCAGAATCATCATCATCGTCATCATCATCAGCAGCAGCAACCACATCATCCTCATCATCATCAGCAGCATCATCACCATCATAACTACTATGAGCATCAACAGCATCATCATCCTCACCAGCATCATCATCATCAGCACCATCTGCATAAGCATCAGCATCAGCATCAGCATCCTCTTCATCATAAGTATCATCATCAGCAGCATCATCAGCATGGCCTTCACCATCCTCATCATCATCACCAACATGATTATCATGAGCATCAGCGGCATCATCTTCATCTTCATCATCACCATCATCATCATCAGCAGCAGCATCAGCATCATCCTCCTCATCATCATCAGTATCATGTTATTAATTTCCCTCGCCCGCCACAAACATAATCCTCATCTGCTCCTCCTCCTCCTCCTCCACTTCCTCCTCCTCCTCCTCCTCCTCCTCCTGCTCCCCCTGCCCCTCGTTCTCCTCCACGTCCTCCTCGACTTACCGACTTCCGGCGTCCACCAGCGCAGCACTCCAACCTCCAGCGCCCAACATCCGACTTTCCACCTCCACCTCCACCAAGCGACCTCCAGCGTCCACCAGCGCAGCTTTCCGACTCGGGACTTCCAGCATCCGACTTTCCACATCCATCTCCACCAAGCGACCTCCAGCGTCCACCAGCGCAACGCTCCGACCTCCAACCCCCGGCATCTGCCTCTCCAACTCCACCTCCACCGATCGACCTCCATCCTCCACCAGCGCAGCACACCGACCGCCCTCATCCAGCATCCAACTGTCCACCTCTACCTCCACCAAGCGACCTCCGGCGTCCACCAGCTCAGCACTCCGACCTCCAACCTCCGGCATCCGACTGTACACCTCCACCTCGACCTATGGACCTCCGGCGTCCACCGACGAAGGGAGGAGGACGGCAAAAGTACAGCGCTGTAGGTAGCGGCTTTCCTGTTGCGTCCTTGCGATTTCGACCGCAATGCTTCAGCTCTGGCGGCGGAATACGCCAACTTCGACGGCGACTTGTCCAACTGCGTTACACGGCGACCCGTTCCTGCCATCTCTAGCCAACCATCCCCAGCACCACCGGCACCAGCCATCGACACCAGTGGCACCACCGACCTCACCATAATCCATAGGAACGCGAGGTCATTGGAAACCGACGACCGCATCGAGGAGCTGATACGAAACGTACAAAATCATTGGGATGCCAGTCTAATCAACGAGACCTGGAGGACACAGCCAAAAGAGCTTTGGGTTACAGTGGGAGGACATACCTTCGGAACGCAATGAATAGCAACTGGGAACGACAGGCAACGCCATGGAATAGCAATTCTCTTACACAAGCGTTGGAGCCGTCATATTTCAGAGCTTCAGGCAATCAGCGCAAGACTGGCCACAGTCAGTCAAGCCCTGCGCTCGAACGGCGCATTGGCAACATTGGCAAATAAAAAGTTAGCACAGCGCACTGTCGCCGGACAGCTGATGCGAAACGAAATTCCGTGAAAACGCATCGGTTCCACCTGTGAGGACAAGCGGGGACGAGGAGGAGGAGGAGGAGGAGGAGGAGGAGGAGGGACGAGGGGAGGAGGGAGAGCGCCGAAAACAATCAGAGCACGCCTGCTGGCAAAAGCGCATAGACGCTGGAAGCCCATTGCTGTTTGGGTCTCCCTCTCTTCCTTTCGTGCGCCCATCGCCTAGGCAGCCCTGTGCCAGGCTCACACGTAAGGAACTTGAGGAGATTATGTTCAGAGAGTGCCGAACTCTTCCTATACAAATTCATTTGCCGATCACGGAGCGTCTCGCTCAGCGGCGGCTCAGACTGGCCACAATGACTATCAAAAGAGGGCGCATTCGATTACAGTTAGCTTCAGCATACTTTGCACACAGTGGGTATACGGACGCACACATACAAAGCATGTACGACGGGATCGGTGCTATGCTCAAGGAAGCCCGTGCCCGCAACGGACGTACCATTCTCGCAGCAGACTTGAACGTCCAGGTTGGTGCACGGCCACGCCCAAACCCAGCACCGACGGACGCTACGACGGCCATCGATGACGATTCTTCTCGTTTTGTGGGCCCCCACCGGCACGGCGACGAGAACTCCATAGGGCAGTGGTTGCGCCACTGGGCCACGACCAAGAGGCTCGCCCTCGTGAACACGTTCTTCCGCAAACCCCCACACTAACAAATTACTTGCACCACGACCGCGGACAACCCGCGAGAATACGATTACATACTGGTAGATAGAAGCCTACTTCCTTTGTGCAACAACGCTGAGGCCACGAGCATCACAGGTCTCAACTCGGATCACAAAACTATCGTACTTCATATTCGCTCCCTGGTTCAACCGAACGGTAAAACTGCACGCCGCCCAGGGCATCCCACATCGCGCGCAAACACTCACAGCGGGCATTGGGCACGCGTGGACTTCGACGAATACCAGCGACATTTGGGCCTCCAATTACAACCGGGAGCACTTCCGACAGACCCGCAGGAGCTCAACCACATCATCGTAGAGAGCCTGTGCACCTTCACAACTCACGTAGCTACCGCCGCGGCGGAGCCCTCACGAGCAGACGCGACCAACACCAACTACGACACCACGCACCAGCAATACGACGACATCATCGAGGACCTGGTCAAGCAGCGACAGAATACGCCTTCAACAAACAGCACTGCCCGACGAGCAATCAGTAAAAAAATCTGGCAGAGCGGTCGACGACAGAAGCGCGCTGACGGAGGGAGCGAATCAGCATCATTCTGGAGCAGGTCAAAGGCCTCAAAAAGTCCGCTTCGTCAAAACACGGGAGACGAGGACGCTGATTTCAGAGATGGTGGGGGCCAACGGCAGCAAGCAGACAACGAGACAAGGGATAGCAGACACATTTGCAATTGGTTACGCTCCATTGCATACTTCTTCCCGCAACCGTGACCTTACGCCAACCGCAACGCCCAAGCCACTGTAGATTCCACCTTTCACAACGACGGAGCTCACCGCAGCAATCTCGCAGCTCAAGGGCGGCAAAGCACAAGACACTAATGGAGTTCGCGCTGACATGCTTCAGAAACGAGGTCCAGAGCTCCAGCGTGCCTTAGTGCAGCTGTACAACCATCATACAGGCAAACGCCTCGACGCTTGCCAGCTGGAGAAAGATCGTCATCAGTGTAATCCCCAAGTCGGGCGACTTAGCGCTTCCACAGAACTATCGTCCGATCTGCACAATACCGATGCTGTACAAGCTCTTCAGCCGACTTCTGCACCACAGGATACAACCAACCCTAGATCGACAGCAACCCCACGACCAGGCGGGCTTTCGCCCTGGATGAGGCACGCGCGACCACCTCTTGACTTCCAGCATTCTACGTGAAAGGGCAGCCGAATGGAAGCATCATCCTTGGGTTGCAGACACTGACTTCAACAAGGCCTTTGACATAGTCGAACACGACAGCCTGTGGGCAGCTCTGCTTCACCAAGATGTCCCGCCTGAATACGTAGACCTTCTACGACGCATGTGCAGTGATAAAACAGCTGCGGTCCGCACTGACACCATAAGCAAAATGTTCGACCTCCAACGCGGCACAAAGCAGGGGGATCCACTTAGCTCGTTGCTATTCGATGCACTGCTCCAACACGTCCTAGCACCGCTGATCTCAGTTTAGCGAAGGAAGCACCAAGGCGTCCAACTGGGACACACCGACTCGGCGACACTCACGAACCTTCGATTCGCAGACGGCATTTCGCTGACAAGCCAAACACTCCCCAACCAAGAGCAACGCTTTCCGACCTCATCACCGCACCCAAGCAGCACGGACTGGAACTGCACCCGACCAAGACCAAAATCATGACCAACCAGCCTCGGCACGGCGACCGAACAGCTAAAGTAGCAGGAATGGAAATCGACATAACAAGCGCCATCACCTACCTTGGCCAGACCATTCCTTTCCACAACGCACCCGAAACTGAAGTAAAGCACCCGATTCAAGCAGCATGGGAATATTTCAGCAGCCACAGACAAGAACTCACCAGCAAGCACTATCCACTGCGAGACCGTCTACGACCATCGTCATCCCCAACATGACATACGGCGCAGAGACGCGGACTCTGACAGAGACTCTCAAGCAGCAATTACACCGAACACAGCGACGGATGGTCACAATCATATAACCGGAACGCAAGGAGGCGCACGGCATCGACACCGACACCACAACACAATCCAGAGATATGCCAAGACAACAAGACAACAACCACGACAACAGCAGCACTGCTCCAACCGACATCAGCGAGTCCGACATTTGCAGCAACCCACCTGCCCACCAGCCCAACGCACCAAACGACGTTAGCGACGACAAAAGCACGCAACCTGGCAATATACAGAACGAGGACGTCGAATGTTGGCCCGACTTCATCCGCAGGGGTACACGGAGAGCAGAGACATTGGTGCTCAAACATGACATACCTGATGTACTCCACGTACACCGAAAGATGGCTTGGAGCTGGGCGAACACGGTGGCTCTCCACCCTTCGACACGCCTGACGCAGAGAATGGTTGGTTGGAGCCCAAGTCTCAATACCCGACAACACAGACGACGGCAACATGGAAGGCAACCAAAACGATGGGACGAAGACATCCAGAAATTTTTCCGCACATTGGACGGACACCACTGCGGCGCCGACAACGGGCAGGAGCACATTCTAGCGGCGACCCAACCACGACAACACCAACACAACAGATCAAACGGCCTGCGGTGGTTATCAGCGGCCGGGAACACTGACTGGTGGTTATCACGTGAGTCCGCCTGCGTTTCACATTTTCGAGGCCACGGCCTCCACGCCATGCCCTAATGGGCACGGGCTTCTTTTCGCTTCCCGTCCTCCACGTCCTCCTGCCCAATTCCTTATCACCCTCCTCCTCCTCATCGACCTCGCCTCCCAATTATCATCCTCAACCTCATCCTCCACATCATCGTGTTCATCGTCCTCCTCAGCCTTCTCATGGTCATCCTCACCGTCATCCTCCTCATCCCTATCCTACACATCGTCCTCATTTTCCCCATAACCATCATGATGAATAGCATCATCACCATCAGCAGCAGCATCAGCATCATCATCACCCGCATCACAGTAATAATCATAATCAACATCTCCAAGAGCATCATCATCATCATCACCATCACCACAATCATCATCATCATCAGCATCAACATCATCATCATCATCGCCAACATCATCATCATCAGTATCAGCATCATCATCATCGCCGCTACCAACTCTGTCCTTCTCGTCCTCCTCATACCCATTCTCCTCCTCATCCTCATTATCCTCCTCCTCATCATCATCACCCTCATCCTCGTCCTCATCCCCATCCGAATCATCATCCTCTTAGTCGCCGTCATCGTCTTCTTATTCCTCCCCATCACGGTCCTATCCATTTTCATGACAATTCTCAACACCGACAAGACGCAGAAGCGCATGTCACACGTTACGCCCCCAAGCCTCGAGGCACCCTGTGTCTCGCTTCACGGCTCGCCACCCAAAAAAGGCTGGGCTGACACGGCGGCGGGCCTCGCCGCAAGCAGCTGAAGTTTTGGGGAATCCCCAATTCTCCACTGCGATGGCCCAGTGACCCAGTCACGGGCCGCGGATCAAAGCCTGCGCGTTCGTCCTCAAGGCTGCGCCACACGGATTGCACCTGGGCGGCCAAGGTCCGAGAGTTCACAGGGCCACGCTTGTGCGAAGGCCCGACTCCATCCAAATGCCCGCCTCCTCCTCGCCCCCCTAGTCATCCTCCCACTCCTCCTCTTCCCTTCCTCGTTTCCTCTGTTCCCTCCGTCCCTCCACCCCCCCCCATCCTCTTAATCCGTACGAGCCCGCCCGCAAGCTGGCGTCAGCTGGGCCGTCCTCCAAAGCTTCCGCGTGGGTGTCTGAAGAGATGTTCTCGTAGCTCCCGTGGACCTTGGCGTACCTGGGTTGGCCAGACACAACAAGCCTCACAGAAAACGATTCAACGAGATCGAATAAGAACGTCGTTTCCTGTGGAGTCGGGTCTCTGCAAGACTACTTAAGAACAGCATTCCAATTTCCACGCCAGCCTGCTGGGCTTCCAACACAGGAAGCGCCACGCTGAAATGCCTACACCGCAGGGAAATGATAACGGGGCCAGAAAGACAGGCGCATAAGATGAGACGCGTCAAGAAAAGCGCGCACCCTGGAGTCCAACTGCACCCCCCCGCATCCGCTCCCCCCTCAACTTCCACCTCCTCGCCCCGACCCTGCGCCTGGATTCCTCTCCCCCCGCTCCGATTCGCCCCTCGCCCGTCGCATCACCCATCCCTTTCCTCGTCGTCCTCGTCCTTCTCATCCTCACCAGCATCATCGTCAACATCAGCACCATCAACACCATCACCACCAGAATCATCATCATCATGATCATAATCATGATCACCATCATCATCATCATCATCATCATCACCACCATCATCATCACCATCACCATCATCATCATCATCACCATCCTCGTCATCATCACCATCATCATCAGACTTCCTCTCTTCCTCACATGTTGTCCTCCTCCTCCCCCTCGCCCTAGCCCTCCCCTTAGTTCCCGTCCTCCCCATTCCCCCCATCACCTTCATCCCTCCCCCCCTCCTCGACCAATCCCCCCCCCCCCGCGCGAGCCGGGGGCCCGGCGAGCGCGCCGGGGCGGTCGCGGAACTCAAAAAATCGACCGCCGCCTGCCTCGGGCAATCGCCAGAAAAATAATTCCTGCACGCAACCGGCGCGCGACGGAAAGGCCTGGGGGGCCGAGAGAACGCGAAGGACGGACCCCGGGACCGCTGACAACGAGCGGGAGGACACGACCGAAAGAAAAGGGGCCACGAAACAGCGAGGGCCCGAAAGCTACACAGCGATGCTGGGGAAGTCGGAGGAATTTGATTGCCCCCGTCCTGGCTCATCGGAGGTCTTTGCGCAACATCTTCACATGCCACTATTCAAACCCTCACCCCAGTCGGCGGCAGAGCTCCTCCTCTCATTGCAAGCCTGGGCAGGGGAAACAGGCGCATCAGAACTGCGCGAGGTCCACCAAGCGCGAGCGGTACGCAAGCCCGCTAAACGAAGAAAGAGATGCAGGCGTTGCCTCTACCCTCTCGGCGAGCCGCGGCAGCGCAAAGCACAAATAAGGGAGGGCAAGGATTTCACAAGCGCAAGCGGCACGGGCGCCTGCATCCATTGCGCCTCAACGCTTGCGAAATCCCTGCGGTCTGGCAGCCTCTGCGGGCCGGGGAGATTGACTACTGAAAGCGACGGCCCTCAGCCCGCAGCAATGAGAGAAGCAGGTTGTCCCTTCGTCGCTTGGCACGCCTAGGCAAAATCCGCCGATCAGGCGCGTGATTTTCTGAGAGCGCGGGCTTGAGCTCGCTCAAGCTTCGCGCTGCAGGGGGGGGGCGCGCAAACGACGAAAAAAATGACGCGCGCAAGGCCTCCCCAATGCCGGGGCCGCCCCCCCCACCCCTGCGCCTTCCTCTCAGGCGCCCCCCCCCCTCTCCTCCTGCACCCCCCCCCCCCTTCCCCCGCAATCTCCTCCCCACCCCACCTACCCCTCTTCCTGCGCCCCCCCCCGCCTCTGCCTGAGCCAATATAGTTGCGGAGTAAGGGATATAATTGGGAAGTGAGCGGACTTCACACACATCCAGCGCCCCGATCACTTTGAGCTGAGCGATGTCGTTGCCGACTACCGACATGATGACACCCGTTTGGTCCGCAGTGTAGCCGCCGCGCCGTAGCGCGAGCCAGCAACTCTACGAGCAGAGCTCTGAAATCTTGAGCCACAATGCCTGCGGATGCGGCACATGGGCAAGGAGGAACAGAAGGAGGACAGAAGCGGGCGCAGACATCAGCCTCCCTTGGCGAGGTACTTGGGCCTTGCATCGGAAAAGGGGCTCGGGAATGGCGAGAGAATGCTGTGGAAATTGGCGGAGCTGTCGTTTCATCTGTCCTTCACGTATCCGCCAGTGCGCCCTCCAGGCACTGAGTAAAGCGCCCTCAGGCCCCTTCCAGTTCGTGACATAGATTGCTCGAGGCCCTCGAGGCCACCTCAAGGCCCCCTCGAGTTCTTGCGTTGCCGTTGGCCCCCTTTGAGGCCCCCTCGCGGCTCTCTCGCGTTCTCCTCCAGGCCCCCTTGAGTGGAGTTCCCTCGAGGCCGCCTCGGGTTTTGTTTAGTTGCTCTTGGGTTTTCTCGTGCGGTGCGTCGTATAGCCGACCAGTCACGGCCGGCCGCAACCGCCTCCACACCGCAGTGGACCTGCGACACCCAAGCGGGAGTGTGCCCTGTCGACTGGCCTGCAGGCGACAAGTATACATATATATATATATATATATATATATATATATATATATATATATACGTATGTATATGTATATATAGGGGGGGTCGGCTCCAGGACTGCCTCGCACCGCTGCAGACAAGCATCCTGCGGCTGGATCTAGGACAAAACAACACCATTTGAGAACACGAGACCCTCCGTCGGCCAAAATACCCCGAACCATAAGATCACCAACGGTACCCTCCCCCAGAATGTACAAGAACATCCAACAAGCACGAAGAACGTTAGGATACCCTCCCCGAACCAACCTCGATATGTTGCCTCGGTCCAACCGTACCACTTTCCAGCCACGCATCAATATGTCCGTCTACAGCTACTTCGTGTAGCAACGGCACGAGTAGAAGGAAGGAAGCCCCCTTCGGGGCCTCTGTTGCGCCCAGATGATGCACGAGGAGCGCCAGCGGAAGACCCGCTGAAGGACCTAAGTAATACCGAGCCGATTTCAAAAACCAAAGTTGGCATCGTCCCAAAGCGCTGTCTGCCCCATTTTTGCCGCCAATGTATTCAACCAACCAAGCATCCAAGGCGCAACGGATTCACGATCATGGCACCACCCGTTCACGATGATTCACAACTGGCCAATGGCCCAAATTCAATACACGGTCCGGATTCGATCGAGCGACGCTTGAATTCCAGTTGCTTCGGAATGGGTCCCCAGCTTATCCACAGCCGATGCACAGCTACTTCGAAGCTGGACCGCAGCTGCCACGTAGCGGTTTCACATAAGAATACTCTTGACACCACGAGATCCCGAGCGACCGAGTCCTCATTAGTTGCAAGACATTTCAACAACTTATTACACGTTGGCTATGTGCACGTATGAGCAGTAACGGGTTAATTACATGTACCAACTGAAAAAAATCGCTGACAACGCAGTCACAACCGATGCCCTGATTGTTCACATTGGTCCCTGAGTGACTCACGAATGCGGCAGGTGCAGGGCCACCTGATGCTGCTGTCCTTGCCCTGATCGTCGTCGTCCTTGACCTTCCCATCCTCCTTCCTCACCTTCTTCCTCATCTTCCTCTTCATCGCCACTCCTCTCCATCTGCCTACTCACCCGAATGGCAGCGAGGTACGCTTTCTCCACCAAGGCCACCCAGTCCTGGCGTTGCGCGGCTCCAGGGAAGAGCGACGACCTTCCCCCTCTTCCTCTCCCTCCTTTCATCTTTGCTCCCCCTCCTCAGTATCGGTCATTATTCCGCATCCTTCCTCCCCCCTCATCATCACGCATTCGTCCTGCTCTCCTCCTCCTCCTCCTCTTCCTCCTCCTCCTATTCCTCCTCATCTTTGTCATCCTTTTCCACGCACACGGCCGCGAGATGGGAGATAAAGCCAGGGTCGGAAGAGAAAAAGACATCAAGGGGTCCCAGCCCTAGGTTGAAAAAAAAACTATTCCTGGCCCGCTGCGTTCTCCTCCTCCTCCTTATCATCCTCCTCGCTCCCCAAATTTCCTCTACTCCTCGTTCCTCAATATCATCCCTTTTTCCCGCTTGTCTTTCCCGCACCCCCTGTATCCTCATCCGTCCACGAGTTATCCTACTCATCCTCCACTCATCATACTCGTTATCAAACCCCTCCTCCTGAGCTGGGTTGCGAGAGGGCGTTCCTGTGCATCCCCGCCAGAGCCTCCAAAGCTGCAGGCCGGACGACCATCGGCGCCAAGAGGCAAGAAATCGTCAACGACCTCGCGCGAGAGGAGTGGGAAAAGGCTCGATTTGTCGGAGACATCCTTCGATCAAGATCGGAAGAGATAACAAGTGTGCTATATCATCGCTTCCGGTTCATCTATAGGACCCATCCATTCACCAGAATTCGGACACCTTGACACCACCGAAAAGTATGCAACGACTTGTGTATATATGTATATATAAACATCTATAGATATCACCCAAATGTGCACTTGACTTGCGACGCTTGCATACAAAAACCACGAACGCTTCGCGTGCGCGCAAGGTCTAGCAAGCCCCAACCCCTGACAATATCACAACTCCGCCGAAGTAGTTACCCAGCATCGTTTTGCACACGCGGTGAATACGCATCAACATCAAGGACCGACCAGAGCCGAACTCCCGACAAGGGCGCTGCCATACAATTCAATGCGAAGAAGTGTAAAACCGTGGCGACACATCGCCATGGCAACCGAATGCGAGGGCAGTGCGACGCACGTCAATATCAATGTGGGGGTTCCCTGGACGCCCCGTGGAAACCCCCCCAAAAAAAAAAATTGGCGATGTCTCGCACGAGGAACTCGGGGAGTTCTTGTAAGGTTCGGGGGGGGACAACACCCATAAACAATATTCTGTGTGATAGAACGAGCAAAACAAACACGGGAGAAAACCCAGAACAAATCATGAAATGATCCTCCGACCCCCCCCCCCCGAACTGGCAATCGGGTTTTGTTCGGGGCCCGGAGCGGTCCAACTGAAACCCCCAAATCGAAATTCGAATACCTACTCAAGAACCGCCTCTTTCGGGGGTGTCTCGCAGGTTGTTTATATTGCGTCGTTGTTGCTTTGTGTGTTCGTTGTTTCTCTGCGGCGTTCATACTGTCTTTCATGGATACAAAACTAGGAGAACAAAAGCATTTGGAAGCACTTCGGGGGGTTGTCGGGTCCCCCCCGGCCACCCCAGGCCCGGGGAAGGGAAAAGCCAAAAACCAAAGGCATTCCCGGGGGAGTCGACTCCACGCCGAGCTCCAAGCCCCCAAACAAACCTATCCCTGATGTTTTGTTTTGTGTTCAAAAGCTGTTTATACATGTGCAATTGGTTCCCCGGCCACCGCGAGCTCTGGGCGGGGGAGGCCCCCCGGAAAAGAACACCCTGAATTCCCCCGAAGGTTCACTGGCCACCTCAAGCCCGAGGGGCGAGCAACAAAAGCCAATCGGGATTCTCCTCTCTGGGATTATTATACGGCGTCTCTAGGCAGGCGCGGAGACGCGGCTCTCCGGCCAGCAGACCATCCGATTGCGCAAAGAGCCTGCACGCAACAGGGCGCGTCATAGAGAAACAACCGCACACCCGATGTTCGCATAGTACGGAGTGGTTCCTCCACGTTGCACAGCGCAGCGGTCATCTCCAACGGTCGCCATCGGCGCTGCCCTACACGGCACGAACACATGAAATCGCGGAAGATACATGCGACAAAATGCTTGCCGCCTCTGGTCGCGCCCGCAAGTGGGGCGTCGCGCGCCATTCCCGCGAGGCGCGGGCGCGCGCGCGACGGCTGGGCTCGCGGAAACTGCAGGGCAGTCCGGGGGGCGACTTGAATAAAGAGCGCGCGACTGCCGAATCAATGACAAACATCGCGCGCGATAGTTCCCTACCAGGTCGCAACTTCGGGCGCGCGTTGGTTCCGCGTTGCTGCGCTGGCTTAGCCGCAATTTCGGGCGACAGCAAACCACTGGGCCTCGCGCGTCACGGCGGCGCGGGAAACGTCGCAACCTCGCGCATGCACTGCACGAGGCACCGCGCTGTCGCGCGCGGAGCGTAGCCGCAGCACGGGGCGCCCCGCCGCAATCCTGGGCCGTGGCCAACGCGCCTAGGACTCGCCCGCTCGCGCACGCAAGCGCGGTTCAACTGTAGCCCAGGTGTAGTTCGAGTGTAGATCAGGCGCAGCCCTTGCAGTTCGAGCGTGGTTCTAGCTTGGCCCAAGCGCAGTCCGAGTAACATCCAAGCGTATATCAGGCGCGTTTCAGATGCAGCCCGGGTGTAGTGCAAGTGTGTATCCAATGTACGCGTTACTTTCCGAATGTAGTTCAAGTCTCGCTTAAGTCTAGCTCAAATGAAATGCTGGTGCAGCGCAAGGGTAGCACATGTAAAATTCGAGCGGGCTGCCAGTGCAGTTCAGGTGTAGTTCATATGTGGCGGAGGACTGTACTTCTAGTTCAAGCGTAGCGCACGCATAATTAGATAATAATTCAAGAGTGCTCCACGCGTAGTTCGGGTATGGATCAGATTTGCGTGTCGAGTGTACTTCGGGCGTAGCTCAAGTCTGGTTCAGGCGTAACGATGGAAATTCGGGTGTGCTTCAAGTGTAACGCAAATGCAGTTCAGGTGTGATTCAAATGTACTTCAAGTGTAATTCAAGTGTGGGTCCAGGTCCAGTGCAGCGCGCGCGTGGTACAGGCGCGTCGCTGGTGTAGCTCAGGTGTAGCTCAAGTATAGTCAAAGTCTAGTTCAAGTGTAGTTCCAAGGCGGCGCAAGTGAAGTTCAAGTGTAGTTCGAGTGTAGTCCAAAGTGTATATCAACTGCGGTTCAGGCGCAGTTCAAGTGTAGTTCAGGTGGGTATCAGGCGAGAACGTGATAAGGCAAATGTAGTTAGTCTGCGTGCACTTAAAATGTAGCCTACGATTATTGCAAGCGCAGGCCAACTCTAGTTCACGTGCAGTTCAGGTGTTGTTCAAGTATGGTTAAGGTGTAAAGACTGTAGTTCAAGTCACAGTCAAACGTTGTTCACGTGTCGCACAAGTGTAGTTCAAGTGGAAGCCGAGTGCAGTTCAAGCGCGGTGCAGGCGCAGTTCAAGAACAGTGCAAGTGGTCCAGGCGTAGTCCGCGCAAGTCATGCACGCGTCAAGCGCGGCGCAGGCGCCATTGAAGCATAGTTCAACTGCACTCCAAGTGTAGAAGTTCAAGTGTGGCTCGAATGGGAAGCAGGTGCAGCCCAAGCGCGGTGCAAGCGTCGGCCGTGCATTTCAAGCGTAGTCCAAGTGTAGTTAAAATGAAATTATTGTGTGGTTCAGGTGTAATTCACACATAACCCAAGCGCGGTTAAAATGTAGCTCGGATGTGGTTCGAATGCGGTTCAAGTGTGGCCCTTGTAATTCAAACGTAGTTCAAGAGTAGTTCATGTGAAATTAACGTGTAGTTCAAGTGCGGTTCAGGTGTGGGCCAAGTGCAGTTCGGGAGTAACTGAAGTGTGCCCCTGGTGCAATCATTGAAGTTGAAGTGTAGCCCGAGCGCAATGCAGATGCAGTCCCAATGTAGCTCAGGTGTAGTTGAAGTGTAGTTCAAGTGTGGTCCAAGCGTAGTGCAGGTGTGATCCAAGCGGGTTCCAGGGATAGCCCTTGTAGTTCAAGTGTAGTGCATGTGCAGTTCAAGTGCGGTTCAAGTGTGATCCCAGCGTAGTCCACGCGCAGCTAAAGTGAGACCCGGGTGAAGTTCAGGTATAGTGTGTGTGTGGTTCAGGCGTGCTCCTCGTAGTTTCAATGTAATTCAAATGTCATGCAAGTGTAGTTCCACTGTAATTCAAGCGCAGTTGCCGTGTAGTTCAAGTGCGGCCCACATGCGGTCCAAATGCATTTCAAGTGTGGTTACTGTGGTGTCCGTGTATGTCTTGTTCGGGTGCGGTCCCAGTGTGATTCAAGCGTGTCTCAAGTGTTGTCCAAGTCTAGTTCAAATGTAGTTCAAGTGTGTTCCCGGTAAAGCCTTTGTAGTTCGAAGGTAATCCGAGTGTAATTCACTCTAGTTCAAGTTAGTACACATGTAGCTCCACTGTAGATCAAGTATGGTTCAAGTGCACTTCTGATTTCATCCAAGCGTGGTGCAAGAACAACTGTTGCAACAAAGGTGTAAGTAACAACGGAATCTGTTTCAGCACAACTCTAATGCTGTTTACGCGCAGTTCAAATGAAGCGCAAGTGTAGATCTGGTGTCGGTCAAGGTGTGTTCAAGTGTAATCACTGTAGCTCGGGCGTAGCGCACGTTCAGAATTTAAAATGTTGTCCAGGTGCAGTGCATGCGCATATCAAATGTAGTTCAAATGTGGTTCAAGTGTACCCAGGTGTAGTTCAGATGTGGCCCAGGCGTCGCTAGTGCAGCTCAAGTGCACTTCAAGTGTAGCCCAAGTTTGGTTAGAGCGACGCTGGCGTGCAGTTCAAGTGTAGTCCAAGTCTGGTTCAAGGGTAGCCCAGGTCTAGTTCAAGTGCGGTGCAGATATAGTCCTTGTAGTTCGAATGCTTTTTCAAGTCTATTTAAGTGTAGTCCGAGTGCAGTTCCAGTGCGCTGCAAGTGTAGTTCACATGCGGCCCAGTGCAGTTCAAATAAAGATCCACTCTAGTTCGGGTGCAGTGCAAGCGTAGGCCAGTTGTGGGTCAAGCGCGGCTCAGGCGTAGTCGTGGCGCTGTCAAGCGCGGTTCAGGCGTAGTTCAATGCAGTTCTAGCGTGGTTCTAGTTTGGCCCAAGCGCAGTCCGAGTAAAATCCAGGCGTAATTCAGGTGCGTTTCAGGTGCAGCCTGGGCGTAGTGCAAGTGTGTATCCAATGGACGCGTTACTCTCCGAATGTAGTTCAAGCCTAGCTTAAGTCCAGCTCAACTGAAATGCTGGTGCAGCGCAAGGGTAGCACATGCGAAATTCGAGCGGGCTGCCAGTGCAGTTCAGGTGTAGTTCATATGTGGCGGAGGACTGTCCTTCTAGTTCAAGCGTAGCGCACGCATAATTCAAGAATAATTCAAGAGTGCTCCACGCGTAGTTCGGGCATAGATCAAATGTGTGTCGAGTGTACTCCGGGCGTAGCTCAAGTCTGGTTCAGGCGTAACGATGAAAATTCGGGCGTGCTTCAAGTGTAACGCAAATGCAGTTCAGGTGTGATTCAAATGAACTTCAAGTGTAATTCAAGTGTGGGTCCAGTGTAGCGCGCGCGTGGTACAGGCGCGTCGCTGGTGTAGCTCAGGTGTAGCTCAAGTATAGTCAAAGTCTAGTTCAAGTGTAGTTTCAAGGCGGCGCAAGTGAAGCTCAAGTGTAGTTCGAGTGTAGTCCAAAGTGTATATCAACTGCGGTTCAGGCGCAGTTCAAGTGTAGTTCAGGTGGGTATCAGGCGAGAACGTGATAAGGCAAATGTAGTTAGTCTACGTGCACTTAAATGTAGCCCGCGATTATTGCAAGCGCAGGCCAGCTCTAGTTCACGTGCAGTTCAGGTGTTGTTCAAGTATGGTTAAGGTCTAAATACTGTAGTTCAAGTCGCAGTCAAACGTTGCTCAAGTGTCGCACGAGTGTAGTTCAAGTGAAAGCCGAGTGCAGTTCAAGCGCGGTGCAGGCGCAGTTCAAGAGCAGTGCAAGTGGTCCAGGCGTACTCCGCGCAAGTCATGCACCCGTCAAGCGCGGCGCAGGCGCCATTGAAGCATAGTTCAACTGCACTCCAAGCGCAGTAATTCAAGTGTGGCTCGAATGGGAAGCAGGTGCAGTCCAAGCGCGGTGCAAGCGTCGGCCGTGCATTTCAAGCGTGGTCCAAATGTAGTTAAAGTGAACTTATATTGTGGTTCAGGTGTAATTCACACACGACCCAAGCGCGGTTAAAATGTAGCTCGGATGTGGTTCGAATGCGGTTCAGGTGTGGCCCTTGTAATTCAAACGTAGTTCAAGAGTAGTGACTGTGAAACTAACGTGTAGTTCAAGTGCGGTTCAGGCGCGGGCCAAGTGCAGTTCGGGAGTAACTGAAGTGCGCCCCTGGTGCAATCATTGTAGTTGAAGTGTAGCCCGAGCGCAATGCAGATGCAGTCCCAATGTAGCTCAGGTGTAGTTGAAGTGTAGTTCAAGTGTGGTCCAAGCGTAGTGCAGGTGTGATCCAAGCGGGTTCCAGGGATAGTCCTTGTAGTTCAAGTGTAGTCCATGTGCAGTTCAAGCGCGGTTCAAGTGTGATCCCAGCGTAGTCCACGCGCAGCTAAAGTGAGACCCGGGTGAAGTTCAGGTATAGTGTGTGTGGTTCAGGCGGGCTCCTCGTAGTTTCAATGTAATTCAAATGTCATGCAAGTGTAGTTCCACTGTAATTCAAGCGCAGTTGCCGTGTAGTTCAAGTGCGGCCCACATGCGGTCCAAGCGCAGTTCAAGTGTGATTACTGTGGTGTCCGTGTAGGTGTTGTTCGAGTGCGGTCCCAGTGTGAGTCAAGCGTGTTGTTGCCCAATTCTAGTTCAGATGTAGTTCGAGTGTGTTCCCGGTGAAGCCTTTGCAGTTCGAAGGTAATCCGAGTGTAACTCACACTAGTTCAAGTGAGTACACATGTAGCTCCAGTGTAGATCAAGTATGGTTCAAGTGCACTTCTGATTTCATCCAAGCGTGGCGCAAGAACAGCTGTTGCAACGCAAGTGTAATTAACAACGGAATCTGTTTCAGCACAACTATAATGCTGTTCACGCAAAGTTCAAATGAAGCGCAAGTGTAGATCAGGTGTCGGTCAAGGTGTTTTCAAGTGTAATCACTGTAGTTCGGGCGTAGCGCACGTTCAGAGTTTAAAATGTTGTCCAAGTGCAGTGCATGTGTATATCAAATGTAGTTCAAATGTGGTTCAAGTGTACCCAGGTGTAGTTCAGATGTGGCCCAGGCGTCGCTAGTGTAGCTCAAGTGCACTTCAAGTGTAGCCCAAGTTTGGTCAGAGCGACGCTGGCGCGCAGTTCAAGTGTAGTTCAAGTCTGGTTCAAGGGTAGCCCAGGACTAGTTCAAGTGCGGTTCAGATACAGTCCTTGTTGTTCGAATGCTTTTTCAAGTCTAGTTTAAGTGTAGTCCGAGTGCAGTTCCAGTGCGCTGCAAGTGTAGTTCACATGCTGCCCAGTGCAGTTCAAATAAATATCCACTCTAGTTCGGGCGCAGTGCAAGCGTAGGTCAGTTGTGTTTCAAGCGCGGTTCAAGCGTAGTTGTGGCGCGGTCCACGCGCAGTCCAGGCGCAGCGTAAGCGTGTTCCTGGAATGGCGCTGACGCGTTCCAAGTGCAGGCCGAGCATGGTGAGTGCGTAACGCTGGTGCACTTCAATCGTAGCTCGGTCGCGGCCCAGGCACTGCGCCCTCTTGGCGCGCCGCGGCGTGGCCGAAGATTCGCGACGCGGGCGCCGCTCCGGCGAATTGCAAGAACAGCGCCGGCGTTAGCCGTGCGTGGCTCGAGGTAGGGGCGGAGAGGAGAGGGCGCGCTGGCCGGCGGGTGGGGCGACGCAGAGCGGGCGCTCGGGATGAGAGGCGCGGCGCCGCGCCGAAATGAAAGTCGGGGCGACGCCGGCGCGCAGGCTGGCGGGCGGGGAGATGCGGAGGGGGCGCGCGGAAGGGGATGGGGCGGTGCCGCGCCGAAATCAAGGGGTCGGAACGGAGGCGTCGGCGCCGTGCCGAAATAAAGAAGTGGGGGGGTGCGGAGGGGGGGCGGGCTGGAGGGGGCGCGCTGGCTGGCGGGTGGGAGGGCGCTGAAGTGTCGCACCACAGGCGACAGCGAAGAGGATGAAGATGCTCTTCCCTTTCACCAGCACAGCGCGTCGCACATTCACACAAACTCTCGGCGCAGCCCCAATGAACTAAGTGGAAACTGGGGGGGGGGGGGGGGAATAGAGATGGGAAGGAGGATTCGCAAGAGTGAGTATAGTATGGGTCTTGAGCCAAAATGGGGCACGACCCGCCCTCCTGGGCAGACAACCCCCCCCCCCTTTGTATCTTAAGCTCAGGGAGTCTCGGAAAAGGATAGGGAACATTGCCAAACAATGGGCCTCGAGACTCAAATCTCACAATGCCCCGAAAAATAATGGGCTTAAGATGGGGTTGTTGCCTTTGCAAAACTGATGGAGGGGAGGGGCCGCCCCGGCTCTCCTTGAAAACAGTCTGCCTGCTGCCGCCATCTGCTGGGCGCCTGACTGCGCACTGGATCGGCCGTGCGCTAGTGCCGGGCACCTGTCTCGCCTTGTCGTAGAACACTACTCGGCAGTGAGACGGCCTTTGGCTGGCTGATCGGTTCCACCCTCCTGCTGCTGGAATTGCCCCTGGGATTCGGCCCGGAACCTGGCTTTCTTCCGCGGGTCTTCCTTGCGGCCTTCCAGGGTTCCACCCTCGGAGGCCAGACGAAGGCACCTGGACCGAAGCAACTCAAACTGAGCTGCATTAGTCTTAGCCATGTCGGACTTAGTCATACAGTCGACTGGAAGAAGGGGATGGGGCATCCATCTGATAACACTTCCGATCTTGGACATGATATCACGAACGACCGCTAAGTCTATCGCAGCTCTGCGATCTGAACGGGATCCGTTGGATAATTTACTGAGGGTATCGTAAATTCCTTTGGCGTCCACGACGCTGAGGCAGTCAGCCGAGGCGGAAGAGGTCAGTTCGCAATCCTGGCGCAGCAGAGCGGCAAAGGGGCCGATCTGATCTTGCCAGGTTTCCGTCACGACGTCCCCCCTCGTCACATCCGCAAACATCAGATGGAGCCACTGCGCTTCTGCCAGCGCCCCGGAGAGAGCTAAAGTCTCTCCTGCCAGGGTGCTGGCCACTTGTCTCTTGACACGACACGATCGCCAGGCTAAGGGAATGGCTCTGGCGCGCAATCCATGTGCCAATGCATTATCAGCCATATAAACTTGCCAGGCCTGCTGCGGGTACTGACAGTCGTCGGACCCGACGCCACCGCAGTCGCCGGCCGTGGCACAGGGGAACCGCTTCAGATCCAAACGGTGGATGACCACCGGCAAAGATGCGGTCGACCGCAGGTGGTCCACCATCTTGTGAGCCTCGAGAAGATCCTTGATACATGGGGAGTTGACTCTGGTGGCTAATATAGAGGCCACCCCCGCAGCCTCGGCTCGGGACTCACGACCCACCCAGTTCAGCTTGTAGACCAGACTGCGAAACTCGGCCACCTCGGAGCCTGTGAGAGGACTGCTGTGGTCCCCACGCCTGCCCCTAGACATCGGAACCTTCTGAAGTTGCTCCAACATGTATTTTTCCTGGTCCACGAGGATTCGGAAATTGGCTCCTTGCCCTAATCGTCTAAGTCTACGTCCTATATATTCAACTCCCTTTTCGTCCAGCTTCTCCATCTTTCCAAAGGTGAATCGCTTTCGGAACTCGGGGAGGTACTTATTCTCTTGGCCGGGGGGTAGGCTATCGCCCAATCGTCGACCTCCAGTAACACCTGAGAGATTAGGCGATCACCCTTTCGTGAGGCGAACCAACAAGGTTCGAGTTTGGTCCTGACATAGCCTTGACTCTCGAGAAACCTAGCCGACGTCTCGTGAAAAGCCAGAGGCGCATCGTCCAGGCCGTAGACGGGGGCCACCAACTCAACGAGGGCGCCTGCTGGGAGGTTGAGCCCCTCACAGGGTTCAACAAAGACTCTGCCTCTCGGCCGCTCAAGGGGGTCCGATTGGCAAAACGCATTCTTGATGTCGCCTATCTGGACCTCGAGGCCATACATTAACGAGATCGCTCAAAAGAGCATTAGCGATTCCATCTTCGTCCTGGTGACCTCTCACACACCATCGCGATTTGGCCTTAGGTCGGTCCCCCACGCTGCCCCGTGGTTTCCAGCGGCGGACCATCCGGCTCGAGACCACCCGGCTGGGAAAGAGGGCTCTGAGTTTCTTTCCTTCGACCGGGGAATGCACCTTGACGGACTTGGTTTCGACGATTTTTTCCATTCCAGGGAATCAGACGCGGCGAAATCGCGCCGCTCTTGAGCGTCGAGCTCCCTGAGTCGGACCTCGCACCCTCTATTTGCCAGCAGGGAGAGAGAGAGAGAGAGAGAGAGAGAGAGAGAGAGAGAGAGAGAGAGAGAGAGAGACCTGGTACGGCTGGCCTTCTGTTGCTGAAAAATCTCCACGTCAGCGTTTCCGCCATGATAGCTCCTCCAATCCCCACTCCACCCCTCGCTTTATATGGCCGCGTCCAAGTCTTCAAAAAACGTGCAAAGCTGGGCGTCTTCGAGCCCAAGGAGCGCCCACAGCTCCTCGTCCTGCAGCGCGAGACCAACGTCGGTCGCCATCGGCTGGGCCTGACCGGCCACATCAGACACCGCGGCTGGAGATCTAGAGCGATGGCGGACAGGCTGCCGGCCCTCGTAGTCCCTGATCTGCTCTTGAACCCTTCCTGATGGCATTCCCCGAAAGTCTTCTCCCAGACGAGTGGACCTCTGGCTGGCTCGACGCATGCCGAAATCCAGGATTTCATTCCGCAAAACCGTCCCATCCATGAACCTCTGGCCACTGGGCGCCCTGTCCAACGACGGAGCGCTCGGGACCTGTCCGGCACTCGAGACGGAAGCGGGAACGGAGGGGGCGGACCCTGAAGCCCGGGCGACGGCAGAGCCCGCAACGGACGCCTGGGCCAGACCAGGGGGAGAGAGAGTTCGAGGCTTTCCTCGGCTCGCCCGGAGCCTTCGACCCTGTCTTCGTCGCCCACCCTGCGGTAAGCGCGCGTCCTATCCGCTCCTTCCTCGTCGGCAGAAACCTGCCTGGACCTGACGACTGGCGTCGAGCGGTCGTCAATCGTCGACACAGCCGGCGTGTTTTCCGGCCCCCCGGGACGAGTGGCCTCCGAGGCCACGCCCCCTTCCTCTGGGATAGCCGGAAGGCGGGAGAGAGGGGCCCCTAGGGGCCCAACCACGTCGCCGCCCGCCCCCTCGGCTCGTGGCTGAGGGGTCGGTCCGAGACTGGTGATCGGAGACGAATCCACCTCGACGCTGCGCCCAGGTTCCCAGGCTTCCCGGGGGGGGGGGGCCCTCGGCCGCAACGTTGATCCCGACCCCCGCGCGTCCGACCTGGGCCTCTCGAAGGAGGCGCTGCACCCCAGGATCTGACACGACTTCGGACCCCCTCGACTCGGGAGTGGTGGCGAACCTGACTTGTTTCTTAGAACACTTCCACAGCTTATTTCGCATCGCCACCCAGACAGCGTTACCAAACTGAAGCAACACCAGACCCGGGCCTACCCAACGATCGCGCTGAAGCGCGTACGTTTTCTTGCTACTCTGGGGGGGAGCGCGCCGCCACGCGAAAACCCACTGGCCAGGATGGACCCTGGAGTCTCGATGGACATTGGCCTTCGTTGCTTCTGCCAGCTTCCGCCTGCTCGCTGTGCGAAACAGGTCCTGCCGCGCCAAGTCCCGAATCGCGCGCTGCCGGGCATAGTCCGCGGCAGCGGTGTCCTGGCCCCAGGCCGTCTGCACAAGGCCCCCCTCTCCGACCTGGCGGACTCCGTCGTCCGAGAGGAGGTCGTTGGGGAGGCGGGGATTGGTGCCATACACGAGCTGAAACGGGCTATACCCGCCGCGGCGCAGGCATCGGTTCTTCGCCGACACCACCTCGTGCAGGAGAGTCTCCAACTCCGCCCTAATAGTGACAACCGAGCTTTCCGAAGCTCGTACCAGGATTTCTCTCACCCATCCCCCGTGTCTTTCAGCTCTGCAGTTTCCCCATGGACTCTCTGAGTCCACCACGTGTTAGAGTGAGTAGAGTATGGGTCTTGAGCCAAAATGGGTACGACCCGTCCTCCTGGGCAGACAACCCTCCCCTCTGTATCTTAAGCTCAGGGAGTCTCGGAAAAAGGATAGGGAACATTGCCAAACAATGGGCCTCGAGACTCAAATCTCACAGAAGGCCTATTGCAAGGGGTCGGGGCGGGGAGGGGCCGCGCCGAAGTAAATGAGTCAGGGCGAAGGGGGCGCTCTGGCTGGTGGGTGGGGGGATTTGGAGGGGGCACGCGGGGCGCGCGGGATGGGAGGGGGGTGGTGCCGTGCCGAAATAAGAGGGTCGGGGCGGAGGGGGCACGCTGGCTGGTGGTTGGGGTGGAGGTGGCGCTTGGGATGAGGGGGCGGTGCCATGCCGAAATCAAGGGGTCGGGGCGCGCTGGCTGGTGGGTGGGGCGATGCAGAGGGTGCGTCCGGGATAGGGGGGAGCGGTACCGTGCCGAAAGGTCGGGGCGGAGGGGGCGCGCTGGCTGGCGGGTGGGGTGATGCGGAGGGGGCGTGCGGAGGCTGGGGGGCGGTTCCGTGCCGAGCGTGCGAAATAAGAGGGTCAGGGCGGAGGGGGCACGCTGGCTGATGAGCGGGGTGATGCGGAGGTGGCGCGCGAGATGGGAGGGGGGGCGGTGCCGTGCCGAAATAGAGGTTGGGGCAAAGAGGGCGCGCTGGCTGGGGAGGCTGGGGAGTGGGGTGATACAGAGGGGGCGCCCGGGATGGGGGGGGCGGTGCCATGCCCAAATAAAAAAGTCGGGGTGGAGGGGGCGCGCTGGCTGGTGGGTGGGGTGATGCGGAGGAGGCGTGCGGGATGGGGGGGAGGGGGGGAAGGGGCGCGCTGGCTGGCGAGCGGGATAATGCGTAGGTGGCGTGCCAGACACCCTGTGCAACAGAACAATTGCATCACCTTGTCTCGGTGTCGATCTGAGGGATTCCCCTAATTCCTGAGGGCACATCCTTAAGATTGTCATCGCCTTGGTCTTGTCAATCTTAGGGACAGGAATGGGCTCGAGGATGGATACGAATCCAACATCCGTTTTGCTTCGCCTTCCGACCACAACACCCAAAAACGAAGGTCCTAATAGCCGGGTCCAGTGCCCCCACCCACCCCGGGGGCGCCCCCCCCGCCGCCCCCCCTCCCCCGGCCCCGCGGGCGCCCGCCCGAGCGCAGCGACGGGGTCGCGCGGCAGCGCAATTGAGTACCATTTGGCCATAATGGACGGCACAGCCTGGGACCAGATGCTCAAAGGGCCAGGGGCCTAGTTGAATCCAAATCCATCTTCACCTCATACACAAACACACACACACCCTGACGTGGCAAATCCCGAACTTAACCTGACCCAGGCCCTGTCGACACTGCGCCAAAACTAACCTGACCCATTCAGACCAACGTGACCAAAAGGCTCGGCGACACCAGTGTGTCACGCGCGCGCTGTAGCAAATGGCAAATGATGCACCAGAATGGGGCGACAAAGCAACATGCAATGCAAAGTGCCAACTGTATCACTAATCCCTCTTCGTTTCCAATGAAGAATCTGGCCGGCGCTGAAGCGAGAGCAACTTTCACAATCATGGGCGTGGCCGGCGCTGTGGCGAGAGCAACATTCTCAATCATGGATGCGGCCGGCGCTAGGGCGTGAACAACTTTCGCAATCGTGGATGTGGCCGGCGCTAAGGCGAGTCCTTTTCGTAATTGTGGGTGTGGCCGGCGCTGAAGCGACAGCAACATTTGCAATCCTGGATATGGCCGGCGCTAAGGCGAGAGTAACTTTCGCAATCGTCGGTGTGGTCGGCGCTGAAGCGAGAGCAACATTCGCAATCGTGGATGTTACCGGCGCCACGGCGACAGCAACACTCGCATTCATGGATGCGGCCAGCGTTGAAACGAGAACAATGTTCGCAATCGTGGATACGGCTGGCGCTGAGGCGACAGCGGCCGTCGTAGTCGTGGATGTGGCTGGCGCTAAGTGAGACTGACGTTCGCAATAACGGATGTGTCCGGCACTTAAGCGAGGGCGACGTTCGCAATCACTGACGTGGCAGGCGAAGATGCGAAAGCAAAATTCGAAATCATGGATGTGGCCTGCGCTGCGGCGAAGCAACATTCCCAACCATGGATGCGGCCTGGGTTAAGGCCAACACAAAGGTCGATATAGTGGATGTAGCCACTGGCAAGGTGAGAGTATCCCTTTCAATCGTGGGCGACGTGTCCCACTGCACACGCGCACGGGATCTAGCACAACCAGAAGCACCACTGAAACGAGCAGCGCCAGAAACAGCAACACCATGCGCAGCAGCAACAACACCAACGCCAACAACAGCAGAAATAGAAGTGCAAGCCACACAGGCGATTCTCCAGCAACCCTCCCTGACCAACACGACAACAAACAGCACCACCACCACGCGCACCAGCACCGGCGACACTAGCAGCACCAGTTTGACGACCACGACGGGGAATGGAGCAGCAGCACCACGCGACACAGCACAAGCGCCACCAGCAGCAACATTGTGACCACAACGACAGCAAACAACAACACCAAACTCAGCAGCACCAGCGTCACCAGCAGCGCCACTTTGACGAGCACGACTGGGAGCATCAACGCCACGCGAAGCAACTCAAACGCAACTACAGTAGCAGCACTTTCCAACGTGACCAGCACGACGAGAAGCAGCAGCACTACACGCACCAACACACGCGCAAGGAGCAGCACTGCCGTGACGCGCGCGACAGGATCCAGCAGCATGACACGCGCCGACACAAGCACGACCAACACCACCACTGTAATCAGCACGACGAAAAGCAGCAACACCACGCGCAGCAACACAAACGACACCAGCAGTTCAACTAGAGCGAGCACGACGGGAACCAGAAGCACCTGGCGATTCGCGCTGGACTGCGCGAGCGCCCCCACCCAAGCGCGGGCCAGACCAGCGAGGGGGGAGGCGTTCACTCCAGCGCAGAACGTCATGTCCCAGATCGTTCAATTTTGCGCTGGGGACTGGGGCGCTCCAAAGCAGAGATGCGCAATCCGTCCACGCGAAGTTTTGCGAACCCCACCACGGGAGCAACTGCTGCTCGCCCCAAGCCCGAACGGCTGTCGCTCCCAGGGAACGGGTTGCGCCAGCCCGGGCCTACAGTAGCAACGCTAACCAAGAGCGCCCGGGCGAGCGCGAGGACAGGGTAGTGACTCGTCGTGGGCCCGCCGTCAGCGCCCGCCGCCTGCCGCCGCCCAGCCCGGACAGCAGCACCAACGCCTAGCACTGGCACCTTGCCCAGCAAGCAGCATCACACGCGCGAGCAGCATCAACGCCACCAGCAGTTCCACTTGAACGAATACGACGGGAACCAGCAGCACATGGCGATTCACGCTGGACTGCGCGAGGGAATTGCTTCCGTGCTCCATCGCAAAGCGTCACGGCCAAAAGAATTCGATTTTGCGCTGGGCACTGAAGGCACCCCAGAGCACAGCCCACAGCCTATCCCACAAGAGCCGGCTGCTCGCCCCTCGCACCGCAGTCCGCGCGGCCTGGCGGAGATGCGCACGACGATCCGCAACGCGTCGGTCCGCAACACGAGCGAAACTAGCAGTTCCACTCTGAGCATCCCGACAGGAATCATCGCCACCAGCAGCACCAGCAGCAGCAGCAGCAGCACAAGCGCCACCAGCAGCATAACTGTGAGCAGCAAGACAAATCAGCAGCAAGAGTGCCAACTGCAGTGCCACTCCACCAAGGCCTGTCGGAAGCAGCAACACCACGCGCATGATCAACGCCGCCAGCAGCAGCAGCGCAAGCATCACTGGCGCCACCAGCAACGGAGCCACCAGCAGTACCACTGTGACGAGCACAAGCAGCAGCACGGCACGCAGAAGCACCAGCAACCAGCAACACCACCTTGACCCGCACTCTCGAAACCAGTAGTGCGACGCGCATCAGCTCCAGAACAACCAGCAGAACTACCGCGACCAGCACTACAGCAGCATCGGCACCGCCACCAGCAGCGCCGAGAGCGGCAGTGGCAAAAGCAACGCCAGTAGTAGCTTTACGGCCTGCACGGCAGCAAGCAGCACAACCACACACAGCAGCACGAGCGACCCGAGCAGCTCCAGTATGACGAGCGCGACGAAGAGCTGCAACAACACACGAAATAGCATCAATGCCGCCAGCACCACCACTGCAACGAACACGACGGCGAGCAGCGGCGCCAAGCGCAGCAGCACGGGCGCCACCAGCGGCACCACTGCGACGAGCACGACGGGAAGCAGCTGCGCCACGCAGGGCAGCACCAGCACCACCAGCAGTTCCACCAGAACGACGAGAACGACGGGAACCAGCAGCACCAGGCGATTTGCGCTGGACTGCTCGCACACCCCCACCCCCCCGCCGGCGAGGCCGGCGAGGGGGGAATCGCTCCATCGCCCCAGCGCACAGCGTCACGGCCCGGATCGTCCGATGTTGCGCTGGACACTGGGGGAGCGACCAGAAAAAGATGCTCAGTCCGTCCGTGCAAAGCTTGGCTGAAAGGTGCAAGAGCCCCGCCCAGAAAGGAGCCAACTGCTGATCTGCCCAAGCCTGAACGGCTGTCGCTCCCAGGGGAAGGGTTGCGCCAGCCAGGGCCTATACTAGCAGCGCTACCCAGGACCGCCACGGCCAGCGCGAAGACGGGGTATTGGCTCGCCGTGGGCCCGCCGTCAGCGCCCGCCGCCTGCTGCTGCCCGTACCAACCAGCAGCTCCAACGCCCAGCACCAGCGCCCTGCCCAGCCACGTCGTCCAGGGCGTCCAGCGGCTGCCGCACTGCCGGCGTCGCCATTGCCCGCTGCAACTGCGGGCCGCCACGCGTCGGGCGTGCAGCAGGATAAGAGCGAGCGCAACGAGCAAATTCCACTGTGACCAGCACGACAAGAAACATCAGCACCACTCGCAGCAGCACCAGCGCCACCAGCAGTGCCTCTGTCAATAGCACGAAAAAGACGAGCAGCTCCACCAGCGCGACCAGCCAGAAAGGAACTAGCAGCACCACCAGCAACAGTGTGAGCGCAACCAGCAGCACAGCAGTAATGCCACCAACCCTAGCGCCACGGGTGGCACCCCTGTGACCATAACGACAGCAAGTACCATCACCACGCACAGCAACACTAGCGCCATAACATGTAGCGTTGTGACGAACATAACAGGAAGCAGCAGTACCACACGCCGCGCCACGTGCAGCACCACCAGCACCACTAGCGCCACTAGCGACCAACACGACAGGAAACAGCAGAACAACGCGCCCAAGCACGAGCGCTAACAGCAGCAACAGTGTGACCAACACAACGGTGACCAGCAGCACAAGCGTAACAAGCAGTACCACTGCGACCAGCACGACGGAAACCAGCTGGACCAAGCGCAGCAGCATGAGCGCAGCACTGCAATCGCCACAAGCAGCACCACTGTGACCAGCACGGCGGGAAACAGCAATACTACATTCACCAGCCCAAGCGCAACGAGCAGTACAAATGTGGCGAACATCACCAGAGACAGCAGGCTTCCGCGAAGCAGCGGCACCAGTGTGACCAGCACGAAGGGAAGACGCAGCACAACAAGTAGCATTAACGGCGCCATCAGCAGCACCACTGCGACCAGCCCGACGGGAAACAACAGCATTACGCCACTACGCGCACCAGCACAAGTGCAGCAAGGAGTACCACTGTGACGAGCATCGCTGGAAGCAGCACCACTGTGACCAGCACGACAGAAATCAGCAGCACCATGCGCAGCACTACTAGCGGCACCAGCAGCACCAATGTGACTAGCGAAAAGATAACCAGTAGCACAACGCGCGAAATAATCAAAGCGGCACCTTGGCACCAAACTGGCCGCGGATGGGGCCGCGACCCAGAAGGTTGCGCAGACCACAAGCTTGTGAGGCTGCGTCTTCCCCTGCGACGCGAACGGCGTTCCCAATCAAGATGTGGAAGGCGCCCCAGCGATGATACAGTCTATAATCAAGGCAAGAAGGGCATTCGCAATCAAGGGTGCGGCCGGCGCCGAAGCGGCAGCACAACATTCGCAATCATATGTTTGGCCAGCGCCAGGCGAGAGCAACAACATTTCGAATCGAGAGCAAAGCCCGCGCTGAGGCGAGAACAACAATCGCAGTCATTTGCGGGGCCTGCGCCCAAGACCTGGGCGAAAGCAGCATTCCGAGTCGAGAGTGCGACCCGCGTTGAGGCGAGAACAATTGTCGCAATCATGCGCGCGGCTGGCGCCTAGGCGAAAGCAGCATTTTCAATCAGATGTGACCGGTGCCGCAACGAGAACGACATGCTCAATGAAAAATGTGGCCGGCGCCTGGGCGACAGCGACATTGTTCATCAGACATGTGACCAGCGCCACGGCGAAAACCATGCTCAATGAAAGATGCGGCTGGCGCCTGGGCGACAGCAGCAGTTCCCATCAGACATGTGACAGGCGCCACAGCGAGAACGACATCAATGAAGGATGTCGTCGGCGCCGACGCAACAATAACAGATTCAATCAGACACGTGGCCTGCGCCAAGGCGAGAACGACGTGCTGAATGAAGGATGTCGCTGGTGCCTCGACAACAGCCACATGTTCAATCCAAGATCTGGCTAGCGCCAAGGCGCGAACGACATGCTCAATGAAGGACGTCGCCAGCGCCTGGGCGACAGCAGCATTTCCAATCAGACATTTGGCTGGCGCCAAGGCGAGAACCACATTCTCAATGATCGACGTCGCTGGCGCTTAAGCGGGAGCCACATGTTTAATCAGAGATGTGGCCCACGCACAGGCGAGAACAACGCTCTCAATGAACGATGTCGCTGGCGCCTAGGCAGCAACACCATTTTTTATCAGAGATGTGGCCCACGCACAAGCCGGAGCATCATTCCGAGACAAGCGTGTCGCCACAATGCAGGTGTCACGCCCATTCCGCGCGGGCCGGGCTCGGTGTCACCGAGGTCCAGGTTACGTGAGGTGGGTAATCTATGTCAGGGGGGGGATTGTACTGCTCATCCGCGACCAGAGAGCTCCCGATGCTGCAGTGGACGGGAACCCCTGCGCGAGGCATGAACCCAAGAGGGAATAATGGTGTGGGAAGAGAAGGAGATGGTAAGCTGGAGAATACTGCTGCGGCGGGTCTTTGAAAAGACAGATGTGGTACTTCAGCGGCTTATTCAAACAAACTCCAGCTGAGCTGATTTGTGCGCGCTCAGACACCAAAGCCTTTGAAACAGTAGGAAGTCCTGCCTGTAAACTGGATGCTCCTTTATCTTCTAGTCTCCGACCCCGCAAAGTATGGTCAGCTTCACACGAGACTACGACTGAGTAAAATGAGGGTCTGATGGCAACCCACAGCGCGTTGCAACGTCTACCCACACATGCAAAGAGATGAACAAGACAAAAAAAAACGGCAATTCGTCGTGCGCCATTATCGTAGACGATTGAGCTGGAATCGTAAACCTCCTCAGCCCAGACCAGACGGGAAGATTGCCTGTCCCCATAAAGCGGATACGCAAGCTTGAGCCAGCTTGGTCAGAGCGCACCCCGTACCAAGTTAAAATGCGCAAGGAAACAATCATCCAGAGCTCGCCTGCTTGTCGTCTCCCTGTACGTCTTTTCGACCGCCACAGTCTCGACCAGCGGGCTCGCTATAAAGTCCGCAATACAGTCCCTGATATAACAGCTTGCAAGTCTGTCCTTCAAGGTGGAGACCGCGTGCAGGGCAAGGCCCCGGGTGCTGATGTGGCTCAACCCCTGGGCGAGAGCCAGCTCGTCCATGGCGAGAGAGCTCAGGTCAACGACCGCGGTGAACTCCACGCGTGTGCGCGCCCTCGCCGTCCTCCTGGACGCCCTGGGCACGGGGACTGGCTCCGCGTAGCGCAGCTCGCAGCCCTGGCTCAAGATGGCCACCTGCTCCTCTGGGCACGACTCGACAAACCACACGCCACCTCCGCACCGCTCCGGGCCCATGCTGGGCCACACCCCTGCGTGCAGGGTGACCTCCCAGCCGGGAGCCGAGGGCCCAACCCGCACCCAGGATGTGGACCCGGAGTGGGCCTGCGGAGGACCAGGTGGGTGCACAGGTGGCCCTCCCTCGATGCAGACGGGAGCAGCAGCGACGAGGACGGTGTGCAGCAGGGAGAGGCAGTCGAGGGTGAACAGAGACTGCCGCTGGGCAGACGGAATGCGCCGACGAAGCGAGCAGCGACCGCGGACGAACCCCGCCCGAAACGCACACGGGCTTCGGTCAGTCGCCCCCACTGGCTGGCCCCAACTGGGGGGGGGGATCGCCGCATCACTGACCCCCTCTGGGAAGATCCGTCGGATCCACAATCGTTGAAGGGCAGCAGCGAGCACCCCACGAGGGGTAAGGAACGCATCCCGCATAATTACGGCTGGCCCGCCCCTCTCCATCTTGTCACGATTTGCAAGATCAGCCTGCACCGAAAATCAACATCGGATCGAATCGGAATGTGCGTCGAATGGGGCTGCACCGGCATGGACTCGAAATCGAATCGGATCGGCCGAACCAGGAAGCACAACAGCGCCATGCAAAATATGGGCAGGATCGGATCGCGGGAAGATGGGAGTCGAATTGGATCGAGCCAGCCGAAGCCGACATCAAATCGGACCGATCGGATCCAAGTGCACCCTGCAGTGGCCGACTGGAAATCATGGATGCGCCAGCGGTGACAGCCCTCACCTCTGCCAACCGTCCACCGGGCCATCGTCTCGCTCCCGCTGGCCTCCGCCGAGAAGGCAGAGAGGTCGGTCCTTTGAATCCTGCGACTGCGCAGACGGCAGTGGCACGCCACTGCCACCATGACAAGCCATTGCCACCCTGGGAACCAGGTTGGCGTGTATGCTACGTGCTGGCTCCATACACTACAGTCGAACCTAAGACAGAAGCACGACCCTCAAGAACATGATACCCTCCGCCGGCCAACACACACACACAACATTCGAGGGTGTATCCTCCCCCAGGATGCACGGGAACGCCCAACAAAAACACGAAAAACACCTGGGCACCCTCCCCGAACCGACTTGGATATTCTTTTTTGTTCCACCTCGTCTCTCGGACCATTTCTCTTGCATGTTTCATCGGTTCGTTCGACACTTCAGAGCTTGGGCACGAAACCGACACCCTTAGGCGAGGGATGAACCAGCTCTCTGCTTGACAGAAACACGACCTGGATCTTATACCTCGGACCGACTGTTTACCACGTGCTTGCTCCATACACTTTCACAGCTCCGCGCGGATCTCTTGGATCGGCGCCGGACACGCCTCCGAGCGCGCCAGGGCCGGCGCCGGAGGCGCCGCCAGAGGGGTCCAGCCTCCGACCTGAGACAGCCGCACGAACCTCCGAAAAGTTTGCGCGAGCGCCGCTGAGGTGGCCAGGCGGGGGCGGGAACGAGAGGGTTGGCTGAGCCAATGCTGCTGCACCAACCCATACAGCCGAGACGGCAGCAAGCTTGGCTTGGCCAATGTTGATTGTCCGTCTCCCGAGCCAGAGAGCGAGCGCAAGGTTGACGTATCCAATGTTGCTGTTCTGCCCCCCGAGCTAGGAGACTGCAGCAAGGCTGGCTTCGCAGTGCAATATGCGCGGTACACTGCCGCGCGGTCTCCTCCTGAGCCTGTCGTTCGGCGATGGGGTCATCGCGCCGCATCGCCGAGACATCGGCGTCACATCGGATGCACCGGCGACGACAGCGTGGAGAAATTCGGGCTCCACATCGAGCCGCATCGCCGATGCATCGACGATGCGGCGCAATCCTCCGACCCCATCTATTCGGACCCCATCCAGGAGGCCCAAAGCCACTCCTCCACTCCTGGTGGCCCCCTGGGGCTCCTCGACCTCCGAACCGAACGATCCAAGGCCTCCGCTCTGAGCCACCGCGGCCGCGGACCTCCTTGCCTGGGCGGAGAGTGCGGGACTCACCCCTGGCGGGGCCCGGCGGCGGGCGTGCCACGGAGACTCTCCTCCTCTGACCGGGTGTTGCCAGATGTGTCCCCAGCTCTCCCAGCCATCTTGGAGCCCCACCTGGAGCTCTCTCGGCCTTGCGGGGGACGCCCTGGAGGCCATCGGGGCATCCCCCGAAGTTCTGAAGGACGCACCCGATCCGAGGCAGGCTCGGGATTGGTGCGCCGAAGAGGTGGGGGGCCCAGCACAAGGTGGTCAGCGCACCATGGCCCGAGGCGAGTGCGAGGACGAGCGGGAGCCAGACGCGTTGCAAGAAGAAGAAGAATAACATAACTATTAGTTTAATAGTAAGAAAGATAAGAAGAATAATAATGATACGAACACTGGCAAAAAAAACAATGTTGATACGAACAGTACGATTGAGAATGAGACAAATACTATGAACATGTCAATAGCATGAGTACTTTGATAATAATGGTAGTACGTATACGAGTACTCGCCCTTAAAATAATGCATAGACTAATAATACTGGCAATGAACAAAATCACAGTACAAACACGCAAAATAAGAACAAACAAGACAAATACTAATACTATGAATAATAAACGCAATCATGAAGACTATAATGGAAATGTAGAAGAAGACAACGAATAAGGAGAGTAAGAAGAGGAACAAAACACATGATAATAGTAACACGAATAAGACGACACGTAACGCAAATAAGAATAAGAAGGATCAGGATAAGAAAAAATGATAAGAAGACGAAGAAGAGGGGGGCATGATATCCACACACCCCTGATGACCAGCCCCCTCTTGGACGCCTCCGACAAGGGAACGCTCTCGCTCTCAGGGTGCCCAGGTCACGCTCAGAGCGTCTCTCCCTCCTTCGGCTCGAGTCGCCCGGAGTCCTCCCAGACGCCGAGGCAGTCCGCGAGGCGGGCGCGGACCGCGCCCGCGCTCGTGTCGGGGTGCACCCGCAGCGCGAGCCGCTCGCCGCCATGGAGCGACCTGAGGACCACCTGCACACAGCCGCCGTCGGCCTCGGTGGAGCAGCCTGGGAGGGCAGGAGCAAGGGAGGGAGGGGGGCGCAGGGGAGGGGAGGGGAGGGGAGGGGAGGGGAGGGGAGGGAGGGGAGGGGAGGGGGGGAGGAGGAGGAGGAGGAGGAGGAGGAGGAGGAGGAGGAGGAGGAGGAGGAGGAGGAGGAGGAGGAGGATTTCACTCCAAGCTGGCTTGGAGCGAATTCGTTCAGAATGCCATGGAGGCCCACGCGGAGACCCTAGACGTGATCTTCATCACCCATAGCGACGCCGCTGGCATCCAGCTCGAGATGCACCCTACCGACGACCACCGCGTCCAGCGGGTGACCCGACAGGTCCGTCGCGGTTCCCAGTGTTTCTGGACCACCCACAGGAAGGCTGCCCATGCGCTGCGCGCTATCTCGCGCGTCCAGAGTCTCCAACAGGTACTGAAGACTCGACTCGACAAAAAAACAAATCGACGACGTCGACGTCGACGCACCATCTCATCGTGTGCTTGCGAAAAGTGGTACAACAAGTTTGGCGACTAGGACAAAAAGCTCCTCACCATCTACTGCGGTGGTGCAGTACCGACATCCACGCGACGACAATGCATTTTGCCCTGCAAATTCTGCAACCACCCACGTCCTTCTTTCCCGCACCTGTGGGAGGACTGCCCCGAATCCAACCACACCCGGCACTATGTTGAATGAAAGCGTTGAATTCCCCACGCCGTTGGGGCGTTTAAGCCCTGGGCGACAAGCAAATCTGGATGGATCACCTACCAGGGGGATCCGTCCGTCATGACGCGTGCGAGGTATCTGGCTGGGACCTGCGAGTTGGCGCTCCACATCCTACGTCGGGGCCTCTCTGGAGACGGCGGCATCCTCCACCCTTCCGACGTCGAGGGGTAGCCGAGGATCACTGCAGTGAGACCACTCCACAATCAAGGTGTTCCACTTCACCATCGCGCGAGGACGAGGAGGATCAGCGTCCAGACTGCCAGGTCTGCGAGCGGGCCGCCATCAAACAGCCCCTCGTGTGACACGATTACAGCTAAGAACTGCCAGTGGGGACACCCACTGCCAGGGGCGCACCCCAACCTCTAGCCTGTTACTGGGGTTACTAGCAGCCTCGGAAGGCTTGTTCAGGAGTGGCGTGGCCTCCCTGCGCGGGGCATTCCCGTCAGGGGCTGCTGCAACAATCCCTAACCGCACGACCTGCCTGTCTGGGGGGGGCGAGACACCTCGCCTGCCTCCTGAACGGGACAGGGAAGGCTTCGGAGGGAGCTGGCAACCATCCGCCGACTGACGGCCGTCAATCTCTCCTGCTTCCCACCTTGGAGCAGGACGTCGGTACCACGGATCCTCGGAGGAGGAAGGGAGAGAGGGAGGGAGGAAGGAGAGGGAGGACAGGAATGGAACAGAGAGGAGGATCGCCCTCGCTGGGGAAGGGAGGACGGGAGAGGGAGGACAAGAAAGAAGACTGGGCGAGGATCGCCTCTCCTCCGAATCCTCCTCCTCTTCCTCCTCCTCCTCCTCCGCCTCCCTTCTCACCCCGCCTTTGGACTCATCGACGAAGGCAGGATTGGGCATCATGCGTCCAAAGCTTACGCGCAACTGCCAGTGGATTCAGCGCGCGCCGTGTCTATAAATCAGCAGCACTGCCAGCAGGACTCCGCCCTGGCCACAGCTTGACAATCCACATCATGTGCCCATGCCTGGCCCGCCCCCAATGCCACCTCCGCCGTGTCCTCCACTGCTGACTGTATCGGCTGCCGCGCACGCACCGCCAGGGCCCTATTCTGTGAGGGCCGCACGCCTTAACCAGCAACACGGGTGCACTCCGCTTGCCATGCCAACCACACATTGTTCCAGAGACTCTGGCTGTTGCTCACGTGCCTCCTGTCCCTGAGGCCGGGGCCAGGCCAGGCAAGCAACACAGGGACAACCAGCAAATTCTGCAAACAATTCAGGCGCACTGCAAACACATCATGCCCACGCCTGGCGAATTTGCGGCGCAGGGCATGCACTCAACGGCGAAGATAGCTGAGCAAGCATGAAGGGCGCGCAGAGACAACCCTGGCGTGCCAGAGCTCTGCATGGATGAGGATGGCTCATCAGCGCGGCTTGTACTGCGCTCTTGCTTGCCGAGCCTGCCTTGTGCACTTGGATGCTGCGCGAAAGACGCCTAGTCTGTTGGAAGCGCTTCTGGCGCAGAGCGAAGTGACCTCAGACTCGCTCACTGATGCCTAATTAAGCGCATCTGACGCCCGCTTGAATGGCACGAGCAGCTCAGCAAGGCCCCCCGAATTGTCCCAGCAAGCCAACTTCGCATCGCATACATGGCAGGAGCGGTCGGCCTGGAATCGATACGTCGGATCGGATCGGAACGTGCATCGAACCGGCCACATCGTCACGGAGTCGGAATCGGATCGGCTGCGCCAGGATCCACAACGGCGCCGTTCAAGCATCGGGCCGTACGGTATCGGATCGTCGGAATATCGAAAGCGAATCGGATCGGCCCTGTCAAAATCGGCATCGACTCGGATCGATCGGATCGAAGAAGGCCCTTCAAGGCGGAGAGTACAGCATACAACTGCCACATCGCAGCATTGCAGCTGAGCAGGGAGAGCGCTCCTCCTCAGGTCCGCGACGCAGCCCAGGCGCTTGTACGCCACGCCTGACCAGCAGGCCAAGCTCGCCTGACCACCGAAGGCGCCGGAACGAGTCGCGCCCACCCTGCGGGAGATGAGCGGCCGCCCAGACAGAGCAAGAGAAGACTGCGCAAGCACAGACTTTCGGAGGTCCGCGCGGACTTCCTTGGGCTGGCGCCGACCCCGCCCCCAGCGGCGAGGCCCCTGGCGCGCCAGGCTGCCCACCAGGGAGGGGGTCTAGCGGTGGTCCAAGAGCTCGGCGCCGACCTCCGAGAGCGTGACGCTGTTGCGCCACAACTCTTCTAGAGGCCCTCCCAACTGGGGCACGAGCAGATGGGGCCAGAGGACCGCGCCGCATCGCCTTTGCATCGTCGATGACTCGCCGATGCACCGGCGATGCATCGGTGATGCATCGGCGACGTCGGCGACACATCGACGACACATCGGCGACGTCGTCGCAGAGAAAATCGGGTTCCACATCGAGCCGCATGGCCGATGCATGGGCGATGCGACCCGATCCTCCGACCCCATCTTCCCGGACCCCATCTGTGTTTTCTCCTTCGGCTGAAGGGAGCACCTCCTGCCTCTACGGCCCCTCTGGCGCAGGCAGCGCAGAACCGCTGCTCCACAGGAGGGGGGCAAGGCCTTGCGTGGGAATCGCAGACCTCGCCATCGTTCGGACGTCCATTCCCCGTGTACTTTTCGATGCTGTGCGTCTGTTTTTGTCACAAGATGGTCCAAAATGCTACTATGGTCCCCGCCGGGAAAACATGCTCACGTCCGAGCGATGCCCGGAGACAGGCAAAGCGGGCGCCCTGGACCGTGCCTCTAAATGGCCCGCCACGCCAAGCCAGTCACAACCGGCCAGGCCGGTCTATCCGCCCCAATCGTGCCCGCGCCTCCCGCAGCAGCTTCCAAGACGCCAAGGCCCTACGCCTGCACTGCGAGGAGGTCACTCATCACAGCGCGGCGCCTGCTGGATGCGCCGTCTCGGCATGGAGCACTTTCAACGCGGCATCGGCGGCGAGCAAGGGGGAAGTGAGAAGAAGAAAGTCCTTAGAAGGCGGCGGGACTTCTCGGAAGCCCTCGCGCCTTCTGAGAGACTTTTGTCTTCAGGATAGGCTCAGAAAACTTCTCCGAAGTCCAGGGTACTTCCGAGCCTTCTGGGAAGGCCCGCCCCTTCTCATTCCCCCCAGGCTCGCCGCCGAGTCTACACAAGGCTATGGACGCTGGCACGTGTGCCACTGTGGCAGGGCCGATCGCTCACACAGTGTCGAACTTCGTTTTGCATATCGCTTTGGCCACTCGCTGCTGAGGCAGTAGGTGCACCGCATGCTGAACAGAGGCACGCAGCTCGAGGCAACTTTCGTGGCTACTTGTCCTGGTCCAGCCGTGCCCACTCCGCGTTTGCTGCCACCGAAGATTCGGCTAGAGATGAGTTTAAGGCGCCGCGGTTTGTTGCCCCTCCCCCGCGTTACCTCATGCAGGCAATGACCCGCCTGGCAATTCAGGCACTCGCGTGCTCCAGAATAAGTATGGCGTGCTCTTCCAGGCAGGAAGGGCGCCTCATGCGAAAAGGCCCATGATGGTATTCAAATGCGACTACCGCTCCCCAGAAGGTGTAGAAGACTACACAGACGCTCTTCGAGCGGCTCAATCCCTTCATGTGTTTAGCCCCCCGAACCGCAGGCGCACCGCGTCGTTGCGAGCTATCCACTGCACTGCGTTCCCTGAGCCGCACATGCAAAACGTCGTTGCAACCGTTTCTGCCGCCTCCTGAGCGGCGAATGCATGGCGTCGTCACGTGCTCTACAGTGGGTGATGGAGTGGCGGTCCATGTCGGTCTACGGGTTGCGATCTAAAGCCCTCCGTGGGAACCACCTATCGCCCTGCGTGCGCCAGCCACTAGCCTGATCAAAGGCGCGGGGCGGGGACTGTGAATGTGGCGTACACAACTTGGCGACGCTCCAACTCACATACAAACAAACGCCTTCTTTGTTTTATCATTTTCCTCCGTAGCCCTCCTCATCATCCTTTTCCTCCTCCTCTTCCCCCTCATCTCCCCCCCCCTCCCTCCTCAAGATTCCCTCCTCTCTCTTGCCTACTCCCGCCTCTCTCCTCCATCCGCCGTCGCGGCTCGGGGCTTTGGGCGCAGCACGCTGGTACCTGGTACATGGTTGCTGCGAGTCTCCGCGGGGTCGGCAGCCATGCGCCCCGCCCCGCGCAGACATCGCGAGCCGACCGCGCGGTGTGCCAGCGCACACCACGACGTCACGCGGGCGTGCCCGCCGCCGCAAGGACGAGCCAGCGTGGCATCGGCGCGCTCGGGAGCGCCGTTCCCTTCAACGCTCGCTGATCCGTGTTGCTCGAGCAAAACAGTTG